TTATTATTCTGGTGAGTTTTGTTTCTGTGAGTGCTATTATGTCTGGGGATGTCTCCTTGATTCTTTCGTGCCACTCCTCATACTTATTTGTTATTCCATCTGCATTTGTATACCACACCTTCAACTTCTTTTCTAAGATTGTGGTCTGGTAGGTGTATTGGGTGTATTGGTGTATTGGTGTATTGTGTGTGTGTGTGTGTGTAAGATAAGACAAAATTTTGTTCGGAATTTTAACCCCGGAGGCTTAGCTACCCAGGATAACCCAAAAAGGGCAGTGCGTCATCGAGGGTCTATGTCTTTATTTCATTGGGAGGTCATCAATTTTGTCCCCCAGGATGCGACCCACACCAGTCGACTAACACCCAGGTAACTATTTAAACCCCTGCCGGGGATCGAACCACGGACACTCTGTGTGAGGCGAGAGGGTTGCCTGCCAAGTGCGGCAGTGGTAGTAAACACCACCTCTGAAGTTCAAAATGATGCCTAGCATGCTAAATGAATTAGCCTACTGCCAGTAGCAATAACTGGATATAGTCAGTATTGTGTTAAAAGGTGCTCGCAGGATGCAACGCTATAGTTATCTGTTCTGTGAATATAATTATAACCTTAATTTTTAAAGGGGTGGACCGGTAAGCCAGCGGAAGGCCTCGGTCAGATGACCAAAAGCTCAAATGGCTGGTCGTCAATAAGACCCGCGTCAGGAAACATTTGTCCTCTTTCTTGACAAATCTTGCATAACCTAACCTGACACTTTGGCACTGGATATATACTCTGAGGAGTTATTTCTCTCAGTATATGTATGCTGAGGGTTTACTATTATCCCTATTTTAGGGATTAAAGAATTCTTGTCTGGTGGTGAACAGGTTACCTTGCAGCCTTAATGACCCTAATTTGGTTAATATACTTTAAACCACATTTACCAACCAACCAACCCAACACTTTGAGCACAGGATACTATATACACAGAGTTGTTAATCTCTTAGTGAGCGGCACACACGCACATTGAGAGTTTCAGCTTTCTTGATTGAAGTATTCATGACTAGTTGGTTTAGAAAGACACGTAAGCAAACACTGTGACATATTTCCTCGACGTTCTCCTGTGCAGATCTCCCGACAGTGACAAACTTCTCTTCAAAGTGTATAGAAAACCTACCAACAAGGACGATCTTATACACTTTTATTCACACCAAGACACCCGCACTAAAAGAGGAGTCCTCATTGGCTTCTTCTTGAGAGCGCTTCTCATCTTCAGCCCTTGTTTTCATGAAGAAGAATGTACTTACATAACACAAGCCTTTACACGTCTTCAGTTCCCATCTTTCTTCATCCGAGATTGCAGGCTCAAGGCACAAGCTATCCTAAACAACCCGCCTATGGAACAGCCCCCTAAGCAGTTCATAGTACTCCCATGTGGTGATGTTGCCACGAATACTCGCCGGGCACTTGCTATGAGTAACATCAACGTTTCCACCATAAACACATCATCTATCAAAGACCTCACTACGAAACGCAGCCACACACCTCTAACTTCTACAGCAGGCGTCTACACTATCCCCTGTGGATTCTGTCCCAAGAAATATGTAGGCGAGACAGGCAGAGATCTTGCAGTCCGTCTGAATGAGCATCGAAATGCCTCTAACAGAGACGATGTAAGGTACGCCTGTGTCCTCCACAGAGACTCCACGGGGCATTTGATGAACTGGAATGAGGCACACCTCGTTCTCACCGAACCAGACCTCAGACGCCGACGGTGCCTAGAAGCCTCACTAATCGCCGTCACCGACACTATAGAACGTAACACTGGAAACTACAAAATTTCAAAAACATTGGCATACATGATACTTAAGCACCACCAACACAACAACACAGGAGTCACATGATTTCATCATCTACCCGTCTTCATCCCAACATGACATTCTTCAGGTCACCGTGCGTCACTCACACCTCACTCTCCGCCTATATAAAATGTCTTTCTACCTGTGTATGTTAGAAGTGATCAAAGTCCCAGGACCGAAACGTTTTCTAATAAATATGTCATAGTGTTTGCTTACGTGTCTTTCTAAACCAACTTGTCGGTATTTATTGCCAAGGTTTATACCATTCATGACTAGTAAACAGTCTACATGCATCCTTACTGACCCTCGTGATGTATGACCGTCAATTCATACAGGTGAAACATATGCTGTAGAAACTGCTTCTTCAAGTGGACTGAAGCTGGTGACGGGCTCAATGATGGAAAAATAAAACTGGAGCTACTCTCTCGTTCCTCGAACCAAACTTACAAAACCCCCTCCTCTCCCATTCTCAAGGCGATATTTGACCGTCTTAATATATTAGGAATAAAGATGTCAGATGTAAACTGGATTTTTTTCTGGTAGATGTCACTTATAGAACAGTGATTTCTTTCGACCAGTGGTTCTCAACGCATGGGCCTCGGACCCCTAGATGGACGTTGAGTCATTCCAAAGGATCCGCTATGTTTCACAGCAAGTATTGCTCCTCCACCCAAAGCTTAATTTTTCCAATCAACAGAACCTAAGATTATATCATCTAGCATGTGAAGGTCTTCGATAACTTTTAAGGTCAAAAAAAAAGGTGCCCTCGCACTAACATAGGTAGAGAATCACTCCTAATAAACCTTTCAACTAGCAGAGACAATATTCCCGACAAGAGAAGAGGCAGGTGACGCCCATCAACAAGAGAGTTTGATGTTAATGAAGAGTCCTCTGATGCCCAGTCAATCTGGCATCCTTCCAAGTGCCAGCATACTCGCTTATGTTTATGATTGACTATGAAGGTCCTTGACGCCGAGCAGTCTAGTACTTCACACACTTCAGCTTCATCTCATTTTAATACGTTGATTTACCTACGAGGGTCACATCGTCAATTTATCGGGATAGATTATAACATAAGATGACATAAACTTATAAAAAAGCAAACTTAACCACCAAAGTGCAAACTAATAAAAGCAGCCGCGATACGTCTGTCAACGAGGTGACGGAGAGCAACCTGGAAACTTTCAAATTGCGCGAATATCAAGGTGAAGCGAGACTAGGTTTTCTGTAGTTCTTATTCCAGTAGTTTCATTTTCAGTTTATGAGAACTGGTCTGAGAGCGAGCTGCGGGGGCCATGATGACCCCTGGACGACCACAACATCGGAAGTTCTAGATGCTGGGCAAAGCTAAATACATCTCGAGTCTGAGTGTTCGTTCTGATGAAGCAATGGCAGCTGTTTTTGTTATCGAGTTAAGAAGCCAGTAGCCATGCATGAAAAACTGAGATATAGGAAGCTGAGACATGTGAAACTAAGGCATGCGAAGCTAAGACATGCAGTAGGTGAGAAAGTCTGGTGTGTGAGCGTTGGAAGATGTGAGAATTGGAAGATGTGAGAGTGTTGGAGGGAGAAGATGAGGAAGTGTTGGAGGAAGGAGTTAATGGAGTGATGTTACCTCAGCTAATGTTGCTTCAAAACTCATTTAAGATAATAAGACAGTAACCCACCACCTAGTGCTACTCTCCTCTCCCTTCCTCCCTCCTTTCTTTCCTTCCTCTCTCTGCCTTCCTCTTTCCTCTTCCTCCTTCCCAATAATATTTCTCATTTATCTCAATCATCTTGTCCACCCCAATCCTGGCTCTTCATTTTCTCCTTCCCTCTCCTTCCATTCTTTTTCATTCTCTCTCTCTCATCTCTTCCTCTCTCTCTCTCTCTCTCTCTCTCTCTCTCTGTCTCTCTCTCTCTCTCTCTCTCTCTCTCTTTCTTGCCTCCCATACGCTCTTTGTATTTCCCTTATTCCCTTAATTACCTGCACCTCTTCCTGCATTTTATTCCTTCTTTTTCTTTATTTTCATTTATCTCGCTGTCTTTTCCCCCATGTGATGTTGCTCCAGACTATCCACCTGAGATAAACTATTAGCGAGGTAAATCAAAGTTCCTTGTTCCTTCATCATAGGGGGACAGAAGCAGGTCAGATGGTGGATGGGCGGTGTTTGGTTTCCATGGACGGAAGAATGACGAGGCTCCGAAATAGTCTACTGATAGGAGTACATAGCTAATTTTAGGTTCTACTTCTTATGCCGTGATGTATTTCTCTTAGTTTCGCCCTCAGCTCGCATGCTGAGCGTTCGTGGTTCGATCCCCGGTGCGGATAGAAACGTTAGGCATCTTGCACTCGTTGCTCCTTTTCACCTAGCAGCAAGTGTTGTAGGTACCTTATTGTTAACTGACTGTCATGGGTCGCATCCTGGGGGATGGTAGCATACCTTAGATAAGACTGGCCTTTGAAATGAGCTGAGGTACAACATCAGCTCTTATTAGCCCGTAAATTCATCTGTGTAAAAAATATATCAACATTTTCTGAGCAGTCTCGTATAAGTATGGTCATTAAAAATGTTGAGGCAGTAAAGAAACTCAGTTTACTGTGTCGAGAGAGGTTCTCCTCAACCATTTCCACTCTGCCTTTCCCTGTATGACACCCAGTCAGCCTGCCTGCATGCTTGTCTGCCTGCCTGCCAGCCCTGCCTGCTTGCCAGCCCTGTCTGCTTGCTTATCTGCCTGTCAGCCCGACTTGTTGCCTGCCTGTCGTACGTACCTGCCTTCTTAACTGCCTGGTTTACCTGCCTGCCTGCTTGCCTGCCTGTCTACCTGCTTGTCTGCGGCCCTGCATGACTACCACAGTGCTCTTAAAAATAAACATTGAATACGAATCATAATTTGTTTATATTGTGTAGTGAGAGTCAGCATGTTTCCAGGACAGATTAAAAAAATGGAAAATTCTAGCTTTTTCTTAACTTCCCACTTCGCATTCTGTTTGTGTCATTTGATAGTAACACCCTGCTATTAAAATATTACTCATATTTCACATTTAAATGTAGATCAAAAGCGTAATAGACATTAATCATCTTTTGGGCAATAAATACTCAAGCAGCAGCTGGCAACTGTAGAGCAGAGAGGTGGATATATAAGGTCGCGATGGAAGGAGCTGTGCAGACTTTGCTCTGGGCAGCTTCCCAGGCTGCAGCTGATTGTTAGGACCATAATTTATGGGTCTTGCAGCAGCTAGTTAGAATCCCAGAAGTACAAGACAGAGCATCGTTCATTAACAAGAGTAACATATACAACAGTGTGACACGGATTAAACGTGGGCATTTTTTTTTTTAAGTAAGGCAGCTGGTAATCTGTGGAGGGAGCAATATTTGCGTAATCGTGAGAAAAATCGCAACACGAGAAGTGAGTTCCTCAGGTGACTCGTTCGAGGTGGGAGGCAGCATCACTCAGGAGAGTGTGCGCTAGTGCGCGCGCGGCGGCCAGCAGCAGGCGCCGGAGGAGCAACCTTGAGCTCAGTGAGAGAGCAGGTGAATGGTAGTGTCTAAGGACAAGATGAGATACGAGGATCCCTTCGATGTTGACGCCTTCATCAACAACCTTCTCATTCTCAAAAAGTACCCTGGAAAGAACGTGAGTACTGTTACCTGGTCTCCTTCATCTCTTAACCTAACCCATTTAAAAAAAAGAAAGCCTAAGCCTTCATTCTAACAACGTTTCGCTCTCCAGGGAAGCTTTATTAAATACTGTCATTGCTTTGTCAAGATGCCACTTAAGCGAAACGCTGTTACAATAAAGACCTGTGCTGATTTGTCTTTTCCATTCGCTTATTGGCTCACCACATTCACCTCGCAGCTAGGGATAACCGAAGTATTCGGTTCAGTCTTGGTCTGGGCGAAACATGTGGGACAACTCCAATCCCGTGCCCGCTTTTTAACCTAGCAGTAAGTAGGCACCTGGGTGTTAGCTGACTGTCCAGGGTCACATCCTGGGAAAGAGAACCAACGATCGTTCTGAAAATAAGGTACTAGCTATGCTTCCTTTGGTTATCCTAGATTACTAACCCGCCGGGGTTAATAATCCCTGTAAAGTCTGTGTTTAACATAAACCCAACTCTTCTATTTGCCTTATTGTTTACGTATTAGGTAGTGCATGTATAGTACACATAGGTTTAGAAATGCAGTGGTTTCTCATTTATTCCTGTCCAATTACTACAAAATCTGTAGTAAGTCACATTAATCCAACCAGAAGTTAAAAGATGTCATATCAAAATATGTTTCACATTAGGAAGTTAAAGGGCATATATTCCATTGCCATGGTTTCTACTGTGAATTAGCTATGATCATGCTTCCCGCCTTCCCTTGGTGCCGGGAAGGCAAGAAATCAATCGTGTTTGCGCTGTCGCAATGCCGGTCACCTGTTTGGAATTAAAGGAAAAGTACAGATGTAGAGAAGGGGTTTAATGTGACGTTCTTTGTAGAGCTTTGTCCATGGGTGTACGTACTGTAACAACGTTATTTGCAAAGCTTTGTCCACGGATGTAAAACTGTTGTGATGACGTTCTGGGCAGAGCTTTGTCGAGTCGATAACTTGACAATGCTCCATACAGAGCGTTGTCTCAGTACAAGCCTGTTTTGCCCTAATCTCTTTACTGCAATACTGTCGGCGATACACACTCTGGTATCCTGGAAGTTGATATACACACACATATGTATACGTAGGCCTTTTATAACAGTAACTTTTCGCCCCACTTCATGAAGCTCTATCAGGTTATGACCATCTTAGCCTCCATCGCTATGTATTGACCCCCATTGTTTTCACTGAGTAAGGTGTAGTGAACGTCGATCAGGTGTTGGCCAGTGGATGCCTATCCATTGAACGAGTCATCCTCCAAGTAAGTCTCGTGTCAGGAGGCTGTTGTCCCTGACGAGCAGACCACTTCTACCACCGTCTCTTACATCCTCCACCTGCTATTGCACTGACCTTTTCGACCTTTTTAACAGCTGGTGGCGGAGGATGCAATAATGCACGCTCGTTAAACATGGCCAATTGGCGAACAATATCTGGGGATAATTGACTGCATCGTCCGCCAATTGGCTACACTTGATTTAGCCAATCTGGCGCAAGCCTTCCTTTCAAGGGTAGGATGAGGGGGGGGGGGATAGATAGGTGTCTTGATGCTGGCCAAGCACTCTTGATACAAGGAACTGGAATCAAACTCCTTTTCCTCGGATCAAACCTGATTACTTTCAGTTATAATATTCAAACGAATTATTAATAATAATAAAGTTGTAAGGCTTATTAAAATCTGGTGAAAGCTGAAGCCTTCTTTTAAACAAATACTATTTAATATTTTATAATGCCATCTGGGTGATCACAACCAATACACGATGTGTGTGAGATGACTGTCATAGCTCATTTAACAGCTTTATTACGGAGAAACTGCCGTGTTGTTGGTCTGAAACTGTCTTGAAACTGAGTATGTGTGTATGTGGCATGTTTATGTCCTGTGTGTGCGTGCGTGTGCGTGCCTCAAAACCGTTATCTTTTTCAAACAATTTCTGACAACATTACAATACAAAACGACTTATTGCCCTGTAAATTTACGCTCAAGCTATTCCTGTCTTTATTTCCTCTCTTTCCTCTTTTATACTATTTCTATCCTTTTAAGTGACCCACAAACCATCACACCAGAGCTATTGAGATGGACCTCTAAAATAACTCATAATAAAGCATTTATTATGGGAGAGAACAGCACTGCCGTGTATTGTTTCTGAAACTGTCGTGAAACTAGTTACTGTTGTCAGGGCAGATATTCCTGTTGTGCTGAAGGAGGGTGGGGGCCCTGCAAAACTTATCTGTTTCCAATTCACAAACACAGCACGCCCTTTTGCCCTGTAATTTCGCCAGCTTTCCTGTTCTTTTTTCCCTCTTTCTCCTCTTTTATCTCTTTCTCTTTCTTTTAAGTCTCCACAACAGACCAGCAACCAGAGGCTATTGAGAGGCTGACGAAGACCCTCCCTGACAATAATTATAATATTAGTATTAATATTATTTGTGGTAGTAGTCGACCCCCGTAGCCACAGTGTCGCTGTATTAGTATTTCCCCAAAATGCGGGAAACATTTACTGTTTCCAGGGAAGCGAAATTCCTGGATTGGTGCTGAAAGAGAGAGGCTGGAGGCTGGAGGCTGCTGCTTCCTGGTATTCCATTAACTGTGTATCCAGAAGTCGTTTCGGCACTCCCAGAATTGTGATATATATATAATATATATATTATATATATATATATATATATATATATATATATATATATATATATATTTTATATATATAAAATATATATAAATATATATATGTGTGTGTGTGTGTCAGTGTTTACACGTTAACTTTTTTGGGGGGCAAAGAATGGGCATAACGTGCTTTTTTGTTTTATTAATGTCATTAATCCAGCACTACTATGGGTTTTCTTACTCACGGGACTGGAGTATTGTCTTACACAGTATATTGCTTTCCAGTAGGACTAGGAGTTTCCTAAGAAACGTTTTTCTCCAGAAGGCAACTTGCAACAGTAGGTACTAGGCACCTATTTTCACTGCTAGGAGGGCAGGGGTTTAGGGGAACGTGCCCAGATGGTTTACCAGCATCAAGGGAGTTACCAGCATCACGGGAGTTACCAGCATCAAGGGAGGCTCCTTGATGCTAGAAAGTTTCCATCCAAGGAATTAGACCTGTCCTTCCCTTGGATTGAACCTGAATGCCTCCCATTCGGAACCACAAGGTGCTGCATGACCCCCTATAACTAGGGGTTCTCGAACCCAGAACCTTCAGATTGGGAGCTGAATGTTCTCACTAGTGGCTACAGTGGAGGGAAGGAAGAGAGGGGTAATGAGAAATGAGGGAATTAGATGAAATGGGTAGAAGGGGAAGAGGATATAGACAGGAGAGGAAGGATGAAAGCAGAATGGGTGAGCATTAGCATGAGGGGGAGGAACTTGAGGGAGGCGAGTGGGTAAAAGGAACATGAGGAGGGGGTGGGGAGGAACTCTGGGGAGAGGGTAGTGGAGGGACATGAGGGCGGGGATGGGTCCACCAGCAGCCGCAACAGATCAATGAAGCCTAGGTGGTAACTGCAGGCTCCACCCCTTCCATCACCCTCCTTCCACCCCTATCATTAGCCTCTCTACATCCCACCCATCATCCCTCCCATTACCCTCCTAGATGGTAACTGCATCGTCCACCCCTTCCATCATCCTTCATCTTACCCTCCCTACGCCCCCTATCATAGCCTTCCTAACAACCCTCCCATAACCCTCCCCCCATCACACTCCCTACACCCCTTCCCACGCCTTCACCATTTCTCCACTCCTTCACCCCATCCCCTTCGCATCACCACCCTTCACCCCAACACCCCCTCCCCCAACACCCCCTCCCGCAACACCCCCTCCCCAACAGAACCACAACCATCCATTCCACTACTGTCGTTCTTTTCCCATCCCCCAAATTACCCCACACGAACCACGTCCCACTAATCCCACCCACTTAACACCCGGCCCCACCTAACACCTCCACCATTCCTCCCCAAAAAATATCTGTGTCTTAAGCATCAATAAGGCACTGAAAAAAAATAAATACAAATATTTATCAATCTCGTTCACAAATAAATATAAATCTACTAATATCTATTCAAACCTCGTCTGTATATCAGAATTAATCTCCTGTGCCATTATGGACAATTCCTAGTGCAAATTTATATAAATTTCCCGAGCCTCACACTAACGCTTGGAGATTTAAACAAAATATGAATCCCATTTCAATAAAACCATTAAATATTAAGTCGTGAGGAGTGGTAGGCCATGACCGCTCAACTCTTATTAAAGATGACACAGTCAGGTCCTGAAGCCACCACTTGCCCTGAGAGACACTTCTGAGAAAACAACAGTGACTGGATATGGAGAAGAGAGAAAGGTGAGGAATACACTGTTCAGAATTTATAATGTCATTATTTTAGTCGTATTATTCAGTCCAAATTTATAAATCCGTGAAAATTCGTGAAGATTTAAAAAAAAAAAATCTGAGAGTAATTCAGAATTGATATAAGGTAAGGCAAGACAAGCAATTCTACTCCCTTTGGGCTCAAGAGCTCTTCAAACAACTATATAGTAACCTCCTCCCCCCCTGCAGCAACGTTTAAATGCTCAATACATTTTAGCTATAAAAGTCCACAATATTGAAGTCCGGCAAGATGTTTCAAACCTTCCTAATATTGCCATGAGTTGATTAGTAAGCACGCAGCTTTAATGGTAAATTCTTATGTAATTTTTTTTAATCTTAATTTAATGTATATAATATATAATAATAATTTATTATAATAATATATAATATATATAAATTTATTATATATTTAATATATTTTTTTATTATATTAATATATATATATATATATATATATATATATATATATATATATATATATATATATATATATATATATATATATATATATATATGTAATATTGGTATTTGGGCTATGTAGAGAGAGAGGAGGGTGGCTGGATTAATATTCCATAGCACATCCTCCTCTGGCACGGACCCAGAGCATTCCCCGGGAGTTATATCCATCATAGAATATAC